ATGCAGACGGGATACTCTTGGTAGCTTGCCAGGCTCTCCAAGAGGGACGGAGGAATCGAACCCGGGTTGGCCACATGCAAGGCAAATGCCCTACCCGTTGTGCTATCATTTCAATAGAGTTTGTATTGGCCTCTCCAGATTCACTCTGACTGATCAAAGTCCTCAACGTATATCAGCTCCCGTAGTTACAGATGCACGCGTAACATACATAGGAGATGGCAGGATGTCGTCAGGCCATGCAGTCCCCGCAGACTGACTGCTGAGGCCTAGCCCCAGCAGAGTTTATGTTGCTGTGTTGATCTAGCACCGGGCCTTTCTATAGGGGGTTGATAGAAATTGGTGGAGTAACTCCCAGACCTTGAAGTTTATTTTTTCAATTTCAGCAGTTAGTGTTTAGAGATAATAAATCATGTGTGCCTTAGAGACTGTAAGTCAAAAAATAATGTCTTGAAATTTGGGGGGAAACAGGTATGACCGAAGCATCCTCCTGGTGCTAGCAATCTAGTTTAAGGAATCTGGTAAAGAAAAATAGGGAAAGAACTTTTTCAGGTTTGGGGGCCACAGGCTGCAGTGCCCAGGGCTGGCTACATCTCTGATGTCAGGGATCATCGCTACGGCAGTGCTCAGGAAACTATGAGATTCCCGGGACCTAACATACTGCGTGCAAAGCATTTGCTCAGCCCATAGAGTGCTCTCCCTCTCCCTCTCCCTCTCCCCTACTCCCTCTCCCTCTCTCTCTCCCTCTCCTCTCCTCTCTCTGTCTCTCTGTCTCTCTCCTTCCCTTCCTCCCTTCCTCCCTCTCTGTCCCTCTGTCTCTGTCTCTCTCTGTTTCTCTGTCTCTGTCTCTGTCTCTGTCTCTCTCTCTCTCTCTCTCTCTGGGATCACTCCAGGCAGTGCTCAGGAGACTATGAGGTTCCTGGGTCTCTCTGTGTGTGTGTCTGTCTCTCTCTTTGTCTTTCCCTCTCTGCCTATCCCTCCATCCCATCTGCCTCTCTCTCTCTCCTGGAGAACTTTTCATTTTAAAAAAGATAAAGAGCAATTTTAGTTGTACTCTTTGAAACAACAAAACTGTGGGCTGCAGGAGCAAATGACTTCTTCATAATATGACACAGAGCAACTGAGCTCGAAGGTCCCCATAAACAGTGGAGGATGGAGCAATGCCTTCTTAGCAGCAGGCATGGGTGTCCCCTGGGTCAAGACAACCTGTGGCCGTGTCTGAACAAGAGACTCCAGCGGTTTCCCTTGTTCACTCACACTGGGAACTGCCTCTGCCACTCCAGCTACATTCATCACCCAGATATGCAATTGAAATGTGTCGGGTGTAAAAATCTCGTGGGATCCCTGTGTTCCCACATGCACTGTAGCCAGGAGCTAGCCGTCTTCCTGGTCACTCTTCATGTGAAACCAAACCTAGCTCTTCCAACTCTCGGTGGAAGGCTGCGGGATGTCCAAAGCAGCACAGAACTATTTTCAACATCATGTGCTTCTTTTGGTGGCGGTTGTTGTTATTTTAACTTGTGCCGAGCCTTATTTTTTAATATGTGTTGGATTTGGAAAAAGGGCTTGGGTCCAATTGATTAGAAGTGTGGATGGCTTGCATGTCACCTTTTTTAGGACAGGTTTGGGGGAGAGGTGTCTGCCTTCTGACAGATGCTGTGTGCTGATGGAGAGATGTAATAATCAAGTTTGGTGTGTGCCATGGAGAGACTGATTCATTGTCTCCTAAAGAGGGTGATGCTGCTTCCAGGGGTCTGGAACCATACCAGGGTGCATTCGGAGCCTCTGTGATACAATAATTGAGGACACTGAACTACCCTAAAGCCTACCAAATCTTTCACTGAGAAAAAGGAAAAGTCTAGGCTCAGGGGAACGTGCAAACATTTTATTAAAATTCAAATTCTTGTGGCGGAGGTTTAAGACAATTGTCTTATATGCAGATCTCAATCCCTGGAACTGTATATGGTACTTTGGAGCACCTCTACGAGTTATCTCTGAGCTCAGAGTTAGGAGTAAGCCCTGAGGACCACTGGGAGTGGCTCCAAAAGTCAAATTTTGTTCTTGTTTTGGGGCCACATCCAGTGATGCTCCTGGCAGTACTCAGGAGACTACAAGAGATTCCCAGAATTAGACCTGGGTCAGCAGCAAAGTAAATGCCCTACCTACTATACTGTTGCTCCGGCCTCTAAGATCAAATTATTATAAAGGAAAATAAGTATCCCGCTTTCACTAAAGGATTGTATGGTACTCAAAATATCAAGGTTAAGAGTCCAATTCCTGTGGTTTTTAGCTATTACTGTGTCTCAGGTCATTACTCAGTTCCTTAACAATTCATATCGTAAGGACTTAAACGTTTGATTAACCACTTCTTTGATATTACAAACACAGGATATCCTAATATTTAATTTGTTTCTTTAAAAGTCAGTATTTGGCGTCATCCTATTTGAACTTCGGGGGCAAATAACTAGAAAGGAAAGGTCTGGAAAAGCTATCAGTTAGGATAGTTTCCAATACATGCACCAGAAGACTCACCTACCACTAGCTTAGACATAATAGTTTGGGGTCAGGGGACAGGGGGTTCCAAGATAGGAACTGAGGGATCCCAAACATAAGCAACTCCCAGGTTCTAGAGAGAACATTCCATGCTCTCTTTGCAGGTAGGCATGGCTTCCTTCCCTCATGGGCAAAGTGGATGTGATGCTTTTGTGTTAGTTATGCATTCAGGAGGGAATTTGGAGACCGGCTCTGCTTAACCACAAGTACATTGATGATTTAAGTTCCAGCAAAAACAGAAAGTTTTGCATGGAAACTTTCACTTTGTCCTATTACGAAGGAGTGTGGGAAGGAGGGAAGAAAGGCAGATGGGAAGACCAGGAGCTAAGCGTCAGGATACCTGGTCAGTCATTGGGGCTGAGTGTAGAAGAGCTGCAGAACTTTGATGCCTTCTAGTACGTTCTTAGTGATTGGACCCCAGCAGTGCTGGGTGAAATAGCAAGATGAAGAATGTTTGAGTGAACATGCTTGGTCATACTGTGACATTGTACTATCATCACTGAAGTGATAATAGGTGATATTGTGATACTAGGCACATCACACGGTGCCTTGACCCAGTTGCAAAAAAGCGTTTTCATTTTAGAAACATCTTTCAGTGTTCATGCTGTACATAATGAAGTACATTCAGTGTGTATGCATCTTCTGAAGAACAATAAATAAAAGACTGAGTTCTTCCGCATACTTCCCTTATATGACTCCCCAACTGTCTCTGCTGCTCCTACTAAAGGGAGGGATTGCCCCATATTTCTGACTTGATCATCTTTTTACATTATAGATATAGATATAAATGTGTATGTGTATATATGTGGTGTACGTATGATATAATATATCTAGATATATCATATGCTATATACGTAGTACTGTCCTCCCGTTGTTCATCAATTTGCTCAAGTGGGCCCAGTAACATCTCCGTTGTGAGACTTATTGTTACTGTGTTTGGCATATCAAATATGTCACGGGTAGCTTCCCAGGCATTGCCACGGGGGTGAGGTAGCTTGCCAGACTCTCTTGCAGGGGCAGAGGAATTGAACCCAGGTCAGCCGGGTCAGCCACATGCAAGACAAATGCCCTTCTGCTATGCTATTGCTCCAGCCCGCTATATATGTATGTATATATATTATATATCTATATCACTTGATCACTTGTGATCACTTGATCACTTGTCATCCCATTGTTCATCTGCTTGTTCAAGCGGGCGCCAGTAACGTCTTCATTCACCCCTGTCACGTGATAGTGTAGCCCAATGGCATACTGGGGGCTCTTTCAGGGTCAGGGGAATGAGACCCGTTATAGTTACTATTTTTGGCATATCGAATATGCCATGGGTGTATTGACTCTGCCGTGTAGTTAGGATACTCTCAGTAGCTTGCCGGGCTGTCCGAGAGGGACGGAGGCTTTTGGGGCAGCCTCTGATCGTTTTTACATTACATATCGATACTATATATCGATATGTAATGTATATATCCATATCCATAAGTTTGTTTTTTAAACTCATGTGTATTATAATCACCGTGAGCATAGTTCAGACACATTCCCTGCCAGACCCTCTTGTTTCAACAGATCTGCAGTGAGGAGAAACCTGCATTTGTCACCAGGTCCCCATGACTTTTGAAGTGCTAGTCCAAGGTGCGCTCTTGAGAGCCAGGGCCCAGGCAATGAGCTGGTTTGCTCCTGCCTCTTTATAAATGGATCTGCATTGGGTATATTACTCTGTAGCTTTATAAATGGATCTGTTACAAATGAATCTGTATTGGGCATATTACTGGATAGCTTTCTTTGAAACTGGACATTTTTGAAGCTCCACCTAGGTGATATGGGTATAGCATTTTCTCGTCAGTCTCTAACTGAAGGTCAGCGAGGGCAAGAGAAAAGCAGGAATCCAGTTGGTTAAGGCACTAACAGAAGAAACTCCACGTTCATCAAGCATCTAGCAGCAGGGCCCTGGATCACGTGATTAAAGTTGTCCTTCAAAAGAAAGGTTCTGAGATATCACCTATCACAAGAGACTTGAGGATGCTCAAAGAGATTTAGGAGAGGTCAGACAGTACAGCAGGTAGGGCATTTGCCTTGCATATGACCAACCCAAGTCCAATCCCTGGCATCCCATATGGTCCCTCAAACACTGCCAGGAGTGATTCCTGAGTGCAGAGCTGCCAGGTATCCCCAAAAAGAAAAAAAGAGAAAGATTTAGGAATCCTGGGATACATGAGGGATAGCTGTGCCTGCAATTAGTTGAAATAAGTGTAGCAAAGAAGGGAGAAAGGAAGGGCAGGGATAGTTAAACCACATGGCTGACATGGGTTCAATCCCCACCACCACATAGCGCCAGGAGTAATTCTTGAGCACGGCTGGTATGGCCCAAAAGAGTGAGTAACCCCTTGGATTAGAATGTTTGGTTTGGATTTACACACCTGACCACTTACTGTCCACCCTGTGTTGTCATCCTGCAGGGGATTTCCGAAGAAAGTCAACAGAACTGCCAGGATAGCCTCTGACGAAGAGATTCAGGGTTCCAAGGACGCTGTCATCCAAGACCTGGAACGGAAGCTGCGCTTTAAGGAGGACCTCCTAAACAACGGGCAGCCGGTACTAGGACGGCCAGGGCCTGGGCTGGGCTGTTAGCTTCCCGCCTTAGAAAGCGACCCCCTCACTCTATTGACTTGGGTCCTTGAGAGCTGTCTGCAAAATCAATATTATGACCCCCGAACCTCAACATATTTATTGTAATACTGCTTGAATCTGGGGAAAGGCGAGAGAGTGAAATAGCTTTCTGAGCCAATCCTCACTGCTCCTTTCTTCCCCAGAAACTGCTCTTGGAGTGAAGATAGGCAGCTGGAGACAGAGGAGGGGGGCTTGGGGGAGGGGACTGGTGAATGAGGAATGGCTATATATGCCCTAGTAGAAGGAGCATGGGGTTTCAGAAGGAGGGAGACTGGAGAGAGGGAGGTGTGCCCTAGAGCCTGACCAGGAATTCAAGCATCAAAAGGAGAAGCTGCCTCTGAGACCCGCCCTGCAGCCTCCCCCCAAATTCTTCTTTTGTTTTGTTTTGGTGTTTTGGGCCATACCTGGCATCCAGGGCTTATTCCTGGCTCTGTGCTCAGGGATCACTTCTGGCAGGGTCCCAGGGATTATCCAGTGCCAGGGATGGAACCCAGGTTGGCCGCATTCAAGCAAGCACCTTACTAACTACACTATCTCTCCAGCATCTTCCCCCCTGTTTTTTAGTTTCAATACTGTGAATTATGATATAAATAAGCAGATACAGCCATATATGTGTATATACACATAGGATGTTTTCTCTACTGGATTGACGTATCCTCATCATTTCTTTTCTTCCTCTTTTTTTTGTTCTTGGTTTTTTACTGAATCTTTGTTATTACATCAATATTTTTAAAAGGATGGGGAAAGCCTAGCAAAAAGGATTTCCCAGGAAAAGGAAAGGGGTCTTTGTTAAGCTTCATATGACTTGTCACCAGGAAAGCTTGCCTGGCCCTTAAGCAAAAGAAGTAAAGGGAGTTTTTGTAAACAAACATTAAATCTCTAAATAAAAATTCACACTCGGGATACCATTTCAGAGAGAAAGCTCTCTATGTTAATTATGTCCTCAAGGAATTTGATTGTTAACTATGAGTAAATAAAAATGCAAGAGCACACATTTGGTTTGGTTGGGAAGATGGAAAATAAAGCACTGGCATTTATACTGATTTTAATTATTAGAGCATACTAATCTGACTCTAAGAAGATAAAATTTTTAACGAGGTCTTGTGTTAATTATTCCCTTCACTGGGAAGAGAAGATTTTCACAAAAGAAAAATAGTTTCTCCCTGAAATAAATGATTGCATGTGTAAATGTACATACTCTGGAAGTTTTCCCTGGTTCTGTCAACTACAGCCTTTGACAGATTAAAACAAATACTTCTGGGAACTTTTTAAGCCAGGTAAAGGCATTGCTCCAGAGCTTGTGGGATGGAGAATTGTTTTTTTAAGTATTCCTCTTAAAGTAACACTTCTATAAGTTTTTGTTCCATGCTTTTATATTGATTGGTATCTTTTTTGTACTAAGATTTTTTTTCCCACTTAGCAGTGAATGACATTCAAAATGAGTAGGTTTTCATATTTGAAAGCTTAAAAGATCAAGAAATAGAACCCTCAACTTTTTTCCTAATGTTAGTCATAATTCTGTTTTTCATTTTTGAATTCTGGGACAGGGCTTGCATATCCACATGGCAAAAAGATCTAGAAACACAACTGTAAAGTGAATTTGACTTCTAATCGTCGCAGGTGCATTTTGGCAAGGAAGAATGATGTCAAATTGGCTATTTAGCTTTTAAGGAACAGGGAGGAAATTATTCCAGTCTCCCCTTTGATGTTAAAGTACTCCTCCATGAAAACATTAGGAAAGCTTTTGAGAGCAGGTATTTAAAACTTTCTTTGAATGCCAATCCATTGATATTCTAACAGACATGAAAAAGTGAGTTTAAATAGAAACAGTAGACTGCGACATTCCATGCACAGAAACCACCTTTCCCTCATGTCTGTCCTCTGCCCCTTCTTTACTAAATGAAACAATTGCAACTTCAGAAACATTGTCATCGGCACTTGTTTCACTTCCTAGTTGAACTGGGACTAAGGGAGCAATGGCAGGAAGTGGTACCTTTACCCAGCATATAGAGTTTTCAATAGAGCTTGCATCTCCATTCAGAAACTTAGTTTATCTGAAATAAGTTTTGTACTTGTTTCAGATTCTACCATAGTAATTTTCCTTTATTTGATCAAATGTCATTTGTAAAAATTCAGGGGGGAGAAGTAGTCTCTAAAAGTTTCTTCAAGACCTATGATTCTAATGTATGTTGGAATCAACAGTCAGTAGCCAGAATTCCCTCATTAGAGCAAAAATGTTGGTGCTTCTTTTGTATAAGAATGGCTTAAAAAATAAAGGTTTGGACTCAGAGGCCAGAGATATAGTGCTTTTGGGGGGATAAGTCTGCCTTATATGCAGCTAAACCTGGTTCATTCTGTAGCATCACATAAATCCCCAGAATACCACCAGGAGTGACCCCTGAGCACAGACCTAGGAGTAAGCAAGCCCCATGCCTTCAGAAAAATATTTGGGCTGAATCCAAGGTGCCAATTGCTATATGCAAAAACATTATGGTTTACTTTATTGATGGGCAAGCAGAGTCAGCCTCTGAGTAGAATCATGAATTGGGGGATGTTCACTTTGGCAACTATCTTTCACAGTCTTTCTGCTAATTCAGTCACATGCTTTGTGGATTATTGCATTTGCCTGCACTAACCTATGTCATAGAGCAGCCTACAAAATGCTCTTAGAGTCCTAGGGCAGAGAGATGAGCTCACTGCCACCACACCTAAATCTTACCTCTTCAAGAACATCGGTGACTATCAACCTTTGAATGCCTGCAAGCCGTTATCATGAACCAGCAGGTGAAAGCCATACTCGAGCATTTTCTGAAGCCTATAGATGCTATGAAAAATACTAAGTTCTTTAAGAAATACTTTGCTGTTTGAATATCTTTTCCGTGTTACTATCAGATGGATATAGAAAATATATTTTCTATGTGGTTTCTTCCTCATTGCTAATATACCCATCTTCAATTTGCACTGGCAGTTGGTGGCTCTGATGACTAATGGTCCCCAACTCTCCCCCCCCCCCCCCGCCCAGTTTCCAACACTGAATTGGGCCATTAGGATCACTAGGGGGAGAGAAAGGCTGGATAAGAGAAGCACAGAAAAAAAAAAGATTCCTCTATCACAGTAGCTGAAGGTGGAGAGAGAAAACACCTGCCTACAGAAAACAGCACAGCTCATGTTGTCATTCTTTTTCAGGAGGTAGTGTGAGATTGTGATATTTTCTCATTGTGTGTTTCTGTGTGATTTGCCATGATTAGAGGTTAACCTATGAAGAGAGAATGGCCCGTCGATTGCTAGGCGCTGAGAGTGCAACAGTTTTGGCTGTTCCCGAGCAGGAAGAGGAAATAGCCAATCAGGTACCATGTTTCTCTGGCCTTCTGATTGTATCTGTGAACACGCTATTCTGGAGTCAGTTCTCTGGAAAGCAGAGGGCAGGCCCAAGCATAGCAGCATAAATGTCATCTCCTGCCTTCACAGCTAGTGTTTATGGAGCTGGGGCCAGCACCGACACTGTGACAATTATTTCAGGCAGTGACACCTGTTCTTTTTATCTTCCTAATGCTCTGTTTATTCTCCTTGCGAGTGTCTCTCTTTTTATTCCTTGCCCTGTGCTTTAATGTAAAATAGTTTTGTCTGGAAAAGCATATTTTTATTTGCCTAGTTTGAAAGAGTGAATGTTTCCCATTGTCACCCTAATATCTGATCAAAGGAAAAATATCCGTGGGCACAAAAGACTAATACCTTTATTGTCCTTCAAAATATATAGAGAAAAATCCCTGAGCAGCAGGAAAAATAAATGCTGTTTTTGTTTTCCTACCACTACCTAAAAAAAAAAAAATGAAGTCATTTCATGGATTGGATTTGATGTTAAGCTCTTTTGTAATCTCTGATGCTTTTATTTGGAAGCTTCTGTATATGGCCTCTGGGTAAAAGAAAGCTTTTTGCAGCAAGTTTAAAAGATCAAGGAAACTCTTTCTCATGTCCATTGAGAAATGAATTTGCCCGAAAATGTGAAGTTTTTTGTGTTAAATGTGCTACCACGAAAATGTCACTTTAAGAGAACTAAAAAATCTTGCTGGATGCTTAGTCTTCATTTCTTTTTCTCTACCCTTACAGGAAATTGGGTCTCCTCGGGCTTCGGTAGGGAGTCCTCAGGATTGTCAAAAGGTTACACTTTTTCCCTTTCTCCTCTTTCTGCCCTTTCCCTCCAGCTGTTGCTTCTGTGCTTTCTCGTTTCCTAGACATTTACCAGTAATGCCTTCTATTCATTGAAGATATTATAACTCTTATATCAAATGAATAAGGATGTCTTTTTTAAAAAAATTAGGGTGTCTATTTTCATTTTATATCAAATGGATAAAATTATTGGTGACATTTTCCTGTCATTTAATTGTAAACTTAAATTTAACTCTGTCTAAACTTTAAATTCCAAGTGTTTCATCCTTCACATGAAAAAGTGCGCTCTCTTAAACTCAACACCTTTAGGCTAATTACAAAAAACAACTTGTTTGTTCTTGGCAGTTTAATTTGTATCGTGACATTTCTTCCCTTCAGCCAATAAATCTTTTTTTTTTTAAGTCTGTTGCCTTTTATATAGGAAAACTCAGTGAAATCAATTATTTAATACTAGAGCAATAGCACGCACAGCGGGTAGGGCATTTGCCTTGCACACAGCCGACCCGGGTTCGATTCCTCCACCCCTCTCAGAGAGTCTGGCAAGCTACCATGACGTATTTGATATGCCAAAAACAGTAACAACAAGTCTCACAATGGAGAGGTTACTGGTGCCCACTCGAGCAAAATCGATGAAAAACGGGAGGACAGTGCTATAGTGCTACAGATAAAAAATAAAGAATATTTTAGAATATGCTGCCTGTTTTCCTTGTACTTTGCAAACAAAAGAATTGGAGATTCCACCCCTAATCACCAGAGGAGAATAGTTATGGGTTTTTTTGCTTTGCTTTTTTTGAGCCAAAATTTTGACTGTTAATCTGAGGAGAATTCCAGAAGGCTATGTGGCTGAGGAGTGAAAAATGCCTGGTGCCATGTTTTCCATTGTTTATTTGATAAATGCTATGCAATATTGCAGCTGCTTGCCACATGTATTCTTCGCCTTCTGGACAGATGCCTTCTGCATCAGCTTTTACCCTACAGAAAGAAACTTGTGTTCCATCATGCTTAGTTTTTTATGAACAATTCAGGGATATATTGCCTTTGCCTTTTGCTTTCTTCTCTCTAGTTCCTCCCACCCAAGAGAAAAGTGAAAGAGATTAATCTTTATACTTTGGGTTTTCTCTTGGCTGATAAGACTTGCAGACAATTTGAAATATCATATATACTGACTCCCATATGTTTTTTGTTTTCTATGGGCTCAGATTGTGTTTTTAGGCTTTATGAGAGAGAGAGACAGACAGACAGACAGAGACAGAGAGGGAGGAAGAGAGGGAAAGAGAGAGGGGAGAAAGAGAGTCTTCTTTGTGTTTTATTGGAGAGGGGGATTGACTCATGAGATGTGCACCTCAGGGGGACTCAGGTTGCTAATATGCTCTTTCTTCGTTTGATCAAGGAATACAAAGTCTCCAGCTGTGAACAAAGACTCATCAGTGAAATTGAGTATAGACTAGAAAGGTCTCCTGTGGATGAATCGGGTGATGACATTCAGTATGGAGATACGCCTGTCGAAAATGGCATGGCCCCATTCTTTGAGATGAAGCTCAAGCATTACAAGATCTTTGAGGGGATGCCTGTAACTTTCGCTTGCAGAGTGGCTGGGAATCCAAAGCCAAAGGTGAGCGGGGAGCATGAGTTTTCCCTAGTGGGCTCTCTGAGGGAGAGTTTTAGTATGTGTGGTAGGAGAAGGAATCTAGACTGCCTTTTCCAATGGGTAAAATATTTGAAGTACTCTGAGTTCCGGGCCATTTTCAGGAGGCGTTCTAAACCAAAAGAAGTAGAAGGGAGTAGGTATTTGAGTTTAAGGAACAGGAACAGAATTGAACAGAATAGCAAATAATTGACAAGGCACTTTTTTGACACTTACATCATGACTGGTGTGATATTATCAGTGATACTCTCCAATGACTGAGATGAGCTCAGTGAGGTTAATTAACTTGCCTCCTGGGGTCAGAGAGCCGCTGAGTGGCCAGGCCTGGACATGTCCCCGGGGCTCTGGACCATACAGAGAGGTAATGCATAATAACCACCACTGCTTTAAACAAGCTTCAGAATATTCATCTAGAAAACCAAGGCTTCCTAGATTTACAAGGAAGGGAAAAGTGGGAAAATCACTGGAAAAGGAGAATCAGGGAATGAGTGTCGGGTTAGGACACAGGTCTTGCATGCACCAATCCTCATTCCATCCCTGGAACACAAGTGCCCCCAAGCACCACCTGGAGTGGCCCTCAAAGCCCCCTGAACAATGCCAGGACTGCCCAGGTTGTCCCTGCATGGTGGACCTTAAGCAGCACTGCAGCCCCCCTCAGGCCCTAGCACTGAACCACGCCTGATTGGCTGAGACTTGCCAGGAGTGGCCCCCTGGCACCTAAGCACTGTGTGAAGTCTTACCAGGTTTTTAAGGATTATCATAGTAGCCTTTGGTACTCAGGAGGCTGACCTGGCTAGGAGCCCTTTTCCTACAGAAATTAGGAGCTCCAGCTAAGAGTTGCCCTATCTTTAAAGGGAAACAGGCATAATCCAGCCAAATAACCACATAGCATTATCTAAAATTTGAAGAAAAAAATTTAAAGAGGTACCCATCAAAAACTCTGAAATTTCTAGGCAGAGAGATAGTACAGAGAGTAAGGCCTTTGCCCTGGCCAACCCTGGTTTGGTCACCAGCACTACATACGGTTCCCCCAAGAATCACCAGAAGTGATCCCTGAGTATAGAGTTAGGAATAAATCTGGACATTAAAACCAAACAACAAAAAAGGCAAAACTGAACTTTAATTACATTATTATATTATATAGAAAACAGCCAAGAAGTTAATATGAAATTCAGTCCAAAAAATTTGACAATAAAAAGTAAATTACTCTCTGGGACAAAGTCACAATTTAGGGCATAACAGACATCTATAGGGTCAAAGGGGAAAAAAACAGAAGTTCACAATAAAACCATCCCAATCATGTGAAGAAATAAATAAGGGAGAAAAATCAGTCGCATAAGAAACAAGGAAAAAGCAGCTCAAACACTGCCAAGTATTGAATTGTCTTTAGGAGAATATAAAATAGCATGCTTAAAATGATCAAAACATGGGCTGGAGCAATAGTACAGTGGGTAGGTAATTTATCTTGCACACGGCCAATGTGGGTTCAATCCCCGGCATCCCATATGGTCCCCGAGCACCGCCAGGAGTAATTCCTGAGTGCAGAGCCAGGAGAAACCCCCGTGCATCGCTGGGTGTGACCCTAAAAGCGAAGAAAAAAATGATCAAAACAGTCTTAAAGTGACTTGAACTCAAACGAAAGAACAGAACAGTCCCCAAGAGAAGGCAGGCTTATTTATAAAATGAGCACCAGAACCACTGGCTGAAAGATGAAAGATACACTCAGAGAGATTGATAATGGAAGAGTGGTGAAAAGAGCTGAAATGAGAATCCTTCAAAAGAAGGGAGAACTGGGGCTGGAGAGATAGCACAGCGGGTAGGGCGTTTGCCTTGCAGGCGGCCAACCCGGGTTCGATTCCCAGCATCCCTTATGGTCCCCTGAGCACCTCCAGGAGTGGCTCCTGAGTGCAGAGCAGGAGTGACCCCTGTGCATCACCAGGTGTGACCCAAAAAGAAAAAAAAAAGAAGGGAGAACTGCTATCCATTAGATGGGAGGCTAGAGTATTAATGCTTGATTGCTCCAGCATTGGTCTATTTCTCAGTCAGGCAAGTTTGACCATCATATTCTTCCCCTAAAATTGCATTCCAGCCCCAGGCCAAGAGCAAAACATAGCAGAGAAAACAGCTTTATGTTTTCAAACCCTGACCTACCCTCCTAATGAATTGAGACTTTTTTTTTTAATTTGCCCTTGACATGCTTGTTCTGAGACATGAAAAGATGAAAAAGAATTTCTAATCTACCCTCTTCAATTCTTGTACCTTCCACTCCCTTCTCCAACTAGCAGTTCTGAAAATGGTATCCAGTCAGTGATAATTTTTTTGGTCCTGGAGAATAATACCGCTTCTGTAAATTCAGAGTTTAAAAATAAATGGTGGGAAAGGTAAAGCTGTCAGATATCAACAATTTATATTTTTAGTGCCATGCATTCAATCTTTTCTGTCATAGATATGGAATTTTTCCAGAAATAATTCAGATTTCAGAGGTCTAAGCAACTGAATCAGAATGTCAGTTGTGCTCTCAACTTGCATGTTAAGGAGGAAATTAAACCAAAGACCCTCCAGTGGGTCTCTTCGAAGTTAGGAATGCTTCTGGTTACAAGGAACAAAATTGACAACAAACTACTTGCTGTGGCGTAAGGGCAGGTTTTCTTTTCTTTCCTAATAACTCCAGAGATGGTTGGCACAGGGAGAATCAACCCTGTAGTCACATCAAGGTTTCTGGAATTGGGGTTCTTTATAACTATCAACTGGGTAGTTCATAAAGGAAATAAAACAGAATATCCAGGCTAGGAAACAACTCAAAAGGGGGCATGTGCTTTGTGTGCTGGAACTCTGGGTTTGAACCCTGGTACCACAGGATCCCCTGAGCACCCTGGCAGTGAGCCTCTGAGCACAGACTCAAGAGAAGCCCCTGAGCACTGCTTAGTGTGGCCCCAAAAGCAAAAGAAACAGGACAAAAATCAGCTTAATCAGCAGAAGAATGTGGACCAATATCTTTGTTTGAAGATGAAAGATTTATAGATAAGGTAGATTGACTATGAAATTAAAATTTATTTTCTCATTTACTTTCCCAGCAACCCAAGTTAAAATGCTATTTGAACTTTTTTTTTTTTTTTTTTTTTTTTGCTTTTTGGGTCACAGCCGGCGATGCCGGGGTTACTCCTGGCTCATGCATTCAGGAATTACTTCTGGTGCTCAGGGGATGGGATGCTGGGAATCGAACCCCGGGTCGGCCGCATGCAAGGCAAACACCCTATCCGCTGTGCTATCGCTCCAGCCACATTATTTGAACCTTTAACTGAGAGCTGACACTTTTAACTTTGATCATATTCCCCTGGCTCAGAAGTAATGCAGCAGAGTTACACACACCCCAACCCTTAATTGTTCTCTCCTTTCTCACCCCTTGTTTCAATTTTGTAACACAGTTCAATGGAATGATAAGAACTGAGGTTACCAAACTTATTTTGCTAACTTCCCCCTTCTCAGGAAAAAAAAATTTTAAAGTATCCTCCTCCCCGGAAATTTACCTACTTTAAGCAGACTAATAGAAAGCAAATCCCAGCCCCACAATTGTACCCCAAGCTTCTGCCCTCCTGGGTGGTCCCAGTGCCCCTAGAGGGGTGGTATTGCCCACTGGATTTAAGTTTGAAGTCTGTTTTTGTTCTCCAAAATAACTTTTTTTTTTACAGAGACTACATTCTAATTATCAGTGCATTTGAAATGTGAAAGTCAAAAGAAAATGTGATAAGCACCTCAGGAAAAAAAGTCAGCATTACCAGTGACTCGCTCTTTGCATATACACATCTATGTCCACATTTTTAAAAACAAAAACAATTCATAACTTAAAAAAATAAAATACAATGAAACCTATTGCTCAACTACTTTTTCATTCAAAACTAAGTTTTCTAGCTCGGAAAGACAGTACAGGAGAAAAGGCACTTGCTTGCCTACGGCTGAGCCCGTTTGCAAGGTTCAGTGAGTTCAATACCCAGCACCCACTGTGGGTTTATTCCAAAGCACTGCCTAGCCCTGAGCAGCTCAGGTGTGGCCCCCAAACAAAAAACGGCTACTGTTGACCCCCCACGCACCTTTCCCCTCTGTTTTCTTTCCCAGATATACTGGTTTAAGGATGGGAAGCAGATCTCGCCAAAGAACGACCACTACATCCTTCAGAGAGATCTGGACGGGACCTGCTCGCTCCACACCTCGGCCTCAACCCTGGACGATGACGGCAACTACACGATCATGGCTGCCAACCCCCAGGTAACTGAGGTCCCCGGCCTGAGGCCGCTGTCAGGACTCCAGCTTGCTGGTGCTTATTGGCCCCAAGAGCTGTTTACCGGAAAGATGAAACCATTCTCCCAGGTTTAGCATCCACCTGGGTGCCCAGAGAGCCGGTGCCTTTGCCTGAGCGTTTGTTCCAGTAGGTGGCGTGCTAGAGCAGGGCGTCCGCCCTCGGTCCGGTCCTGGCAGCCTGGTATGTGGGTTTATAAAATGCCTGTTTGAGGACCAGAGAGATAGTACAACTGGTAGGGTATTCGCCTTGCAGGAAGTTTGATTCCCCCTGGCACCGCATATGGTCCCCCAGGCATTGCCTGGAGTGATCCCTGAGCAGAGAGCCAGGAATAAGCCCTGGGCACTGACAGGTGTCCACAATTCCTAAAAGATTTTTTAAAAATATATCAAACAGTAGCTGATAAAATTTTTATTTAAATATTTTCTTAAAAATTTGTTTTAATTTAAAATAAAATTTGTAAGCTACTTAACTCCACATAGTTTACGAAGATGGTTCCGTGGGAGTAGTTCCAGTGCAGATGGTCTAACAAGCACAACTCACTCTGAGGTTAGTGAGATAGTTGGATGATGGAAAGTCCCACGTTGGAAACAAGCCAATAAGCAAACATTCAGGTAGTATAACTTCATTGAGGATTTCTTTCTATTGGGAAAAAGTATGGAGGAAAGGATAGTGAGCAGCATGTTTATGCTGGAGTAGAACACTGGGGGGAAAGCACTGTAACTGTCACTGCCCTCCCGTTGTTCATCAATTTTCTCGAGCAGGCCCAGTAACATCTCCACTGGAGACTTTGTTGTTACTGTGTTTGGCATATCGAATACCTCACGGGGAGCTTGCCAGGCTCTGCCGTGCGGGCGAGATACTCTCGGTAGCTTGCCGGGCTCTCCGAGAGGGCGGAGGAATCGAACTCGGGTCGGCCATGTTGGCTGCGTGCAAGGCAAACGCCCTACCGCTGTGCTATCGCTCCAGCGAAAGCAAAATAGTTTTAAAAATATACACATAACTAATAAGTGGAGATAAATTGCAATTTGAATAATGGCTCTGTAGCATATTCAGGACTCTCTTTTTTGCATCGTCTCCTGTACTGGCCTTTGGGGTCAGAGATCACTGGATTCCTAGAATTTCAGAGGTAGTTCTTAATTATCATGTTTCCAAATCAAGTCAGTAAATTCATTTTTATGGACTATTTGCATATTATAGTCCATGAGCAAGATCTGGGAGACCTCCAGATGAGGAAGAAGTGAAGAAGTGATTCATACCCTAAAAATAAAATGTGAAAATTAATTTGACAAAGTCTGCAGAAGTCACATAAATAATCCACTTTAAAAATAAAAAATAGCAATTTTAATGTATAACTAATAATTAACAATTATAATATATAACTAACAAGAGCCATATTTTAAAAATATATATGATACCCTTTCATATTTATTATTCTGTTGAAAGGAAATAGTAATTGTTAGACAGTGACACAATTTAGCAAAGTTTACACACTTAAAAGTCACTTCAGGCCCTCTCTCTGGCAGACAGCCTGCACTCTGCCTCTTAGAAAATAATAGAGTGCTATTATTTTCAACATTATTTAATAAAGCTTTTGTATTATTTAAGGAAATAAAAATGAAAGTCAGTATAATGTTTATCCTGTTCGAATATACTCTCATGGAAAGATATTTCTGCAATACAATTTGAATGAAGAACAGATTTGCCACAGATCTGCACAGCAAACACTGCACTCTCCACAAGTTTCCATGGAAATGCATTTTTTGACGCTCTGATTTTTCAATCAGTGTATGACGATCACCTGGAAAAACGGCAAATTCCAGCCTGTATAAAAACGTTGCACTTCAGCCCACTTTTGTGTTTATGCCTGGCATACTTGAAGGACAAAAAAATGAAGCTCACCTTTTAAAAAATTTGACTTTGAGTATATTTCCTTGACAGTTGACAAACTGATTTTTTTAGTTTTTTGACTACTCAGAATTTAGTTAAGCCCAAAATTATTCTTCAAGTTGGATTCCTTTTCCCCAAGAAAGACAGATATATTATAGTAATATACTTAACAGTGCTCATCAGTACTCAAGGCATTTTTCCTAGTGAATAGTTTATTAGAATTTCAAAAGAACAAACATGGAAAACTTACATTGTGTGTCTGTTTCTAGTCTTCTTTTAGAAAACTGTATTTTTAACATGTGGAAAAGTTCTAAATGGGAAAGGACCCCCAGCTCCTGACCTGCGAGTTGAAGGCGGCAGGCCAACTTTGGGTTCAGCCACCTCTGAGCACTGAAACTACCTACACACCATGATAAGGTCTTAGATTAAGGCCAGTTACTGAATATTTCCCTTGTAAACAGAGAAAGAAAGGAAGGAAAAGAAATCAAAAGAAATACAGGATATGAGGAACACCAGAATCCTGGAACAATGATGATGACGCTGCTTCCCCGAATCTAGCTCAGCACCTGGACCAACTTCGAAGCTATTTTTACCTGTGAAGAAAAAAACAAATAAAGCCCAGAGAGGTTCAGATGAAATAAGGCCCAAATTCCAGCCCTCCTCACTATATATCTCATAACACCTGTAATAAAGCAGACACCAATATGGTTTTGAGGGGGGTCTCCCAAAGGGAGCAAAAGATTCAAAGAACCCCAAGAGACAGTTGCCAAAGAATTTCCTAATATCTAGAATTCCAATTATATGCCAAAATTAGATGAATTCACCCAACATTTTAAGTAAAGGGGGTGCGACTTTTGTTTTCCTTTCCCATTGAATTACCAAGGCAAGCGTAAGAGGGGAGGAACTCAAGAAGAGAACAAAGGGGCTGGAGCGATAGCACGGCGGGTAGGTCATTTGCCTTGCACGTGGCTGACCTGGGTTTGATTCCCAGCATCCCATATGATCCCCTAGCATCGCCAGGAGTAATTCCTGAGTGCAGAGCCAGGAGTAACCCATGTGTATCGCTAGGTGTGACCCAAAAAAGCAAACAAAAAAAAAAGAAGAAAACAAAAAGGTTGTAAAAACGGGCACTTAGAACTCAAACTGAAATTATTAACTGGGATAGTGGTGGAGGGAAGCGGACACTTGGGGGAAGGTGTGGTGCTGGAATGTTTTCTCTATGAAACTTAAGCATTAACAGTATCATAAACCATAGTGCCTAAAATTAAATTTTAAAAAAGAAATTATTAGAGCATTTTATACTTACATCATTTGGTATTACTTGCTGTTCCAAGTTTCTGGGCATGTTGCCTGGTTGATTCCAATGTCAAGAGTAAAACTCCAGGGTCTAGAGAGATAGTGTAGCAGGGAGGATGCTTGCCTTGCATGTGACCAATCAAGGTTGGATCCCCAGAATCCCATATGGTCTCCTGAGCATTGCTAGGAGCAACCCTTGAGCATCGCCAGGCATGACCCAAAAACAAAAGCAAAAAAAAATAACAGAAACAAAATTAGAATAAACTTCATTAGCTATTTGAAAGCAAAGAGGTGATTAATGTAGCAGGCCTTTTTTTAACTTAATGTATAGCATGAGTTATCAGTTATTGCTGTAGAAATACCATAATAGAAATGTTGAACATTTCATAATCCCAACTTTACAGTATTTGTGATTATCTTTTAAGATATCTCACTGCTCTTGTCATTTGTGGGTTAGAGCATAATCTAAAAGTGCCATGTCATAAGCAGGCCTTGTAAAAAAATAAAAATAAAAATTTTCAAAAGTTTACTAAAAGCTAAACTTTTTAAGAGATATTAATCCCCAAAGCATAGTACATAGTCAACAGAAAGCAGACAGTTTCTTTTCTTTTTTTTTTTTTGAAGTCTCTCTTCTTTTAAAATTGAATCTCATGCAGATACACAGTTACAAATTTGTTCATAATTGGGTTTCAGTCATATACTGTTCCAATACCCGTCCCTTCACCTGGGTACATTTTCCACCATCTATGGGCTGACGTTTTCTTGATCCCCTTCAGTTACCTAAATTCTTTTTACATTTTATAAGTAGTTGGATTTGAAAGGGAGACAACTGTGTCTATTTTATTTCTGGTACACTGCAGCTTACATATGTGGAATGACCAAGGGAAAGGGAAAAGGCTGGAGTGGAAAAATCGGTTCAGTAATGAAACACAGACGGTCCAGCTTTCCTGAGCAGTGGGAAATAATTACAGACAGCGGCCAGGAGAAAGGGGTGAGAACCAAGGAAAAGAGGAAAATGCTAAAGTGCAGCAGAATATTTTATAGAATGTTTTTCCACCTGCCTCAACCGTTAGGGAATAAGAAACACGTTAGCTATTGAAGTACATCCAGATTCTGCTTGGGCTAGAACACTCAGCTCGACACAGAGGCATAGACTCTCTATGCCTCCCAAGCAAGAGAAAGCACATAGTTTAGTGAAATAGTGAGGGAGTGCAGGGCTGCACCAAACATTGCCAAAATGAGGATCACAAATAGTTTATTTTAGACTCTAATCCTATCTTTAAGACACAACCAAATCTAAACAGAATGTTTGACTCTGTTTTGCTGTGTTGCTAAGTTACTGTCTATTGCGCTTGGGTTTTTAGAATGGCTGTTTTGCAGTTTGATGTTTTCTCAAGTTGCAGTATGTATACAAGTGGCAAATTTCATAAACTAGGAACTATACATGTTATTTCCATATTATATAAATAGTTGGCCTTGCATGAGGCATCAAATAATCTTTACAAGCTGGATGTTAATACAGGATCGCATTAAGAATTCAAACTCATTACTTGTACTATAGCTTTAAACTCTGTGGATTTGTTTGGAATGGAAAGTAACACACAGCTGAGTTAAATTTAAGAAGCTGGTTTGTTGATTGTGCCTTGTTTTTAGCATTATAAGGTTTCCCAACTCATTCCAGGCTTCACTTTAAACATTCACTTCCATTACTGCTTCATGTGTTAATAATAAAGCAGATAGAAATGACAGTGTTAATAAAAGGAAATGCCACAGCATTAATGTA